TTAATTTTTCAGCCGAGCTCCTCATCCAATTGGTGTGTGTCTAAGTCGCCTCCGAACGGGCGGTGGATTTTTATGCGGAGCTTTTATTACAACAACTTTGTTTGTTGGTCTGGCCAGGAAACGTATCCATATATATGTATATATAAATTGCGCTTTGTAACCGCTGAAGCGACATTCAGCCGAGCTTCTCCTCCAATGAAGGGACCTACAGTTCATACTAAGCCCCCTCTGAATGGGCAGTGGATTTTTTATGAGAAGCCTTTAGTTTATGTCAGAAATACACTTGGAGGGCATGACATTGCTTGCTGAGGGACGGCCGCAATTAGAAAGTTTAGCTTAATTTTTTATTTAAAATAATTTCGTTCCTATAGCCCTCCGCAAAAACTTCAAAATCAATAATCAATTAATTATATTTTGTTAGTTATTCATTAAAGCACTCAAAGAACTCTTTAAAGAAAATGAAATTAAATGAAAAATTGTCGCTAAATGTAAATGAAGCCAATTTTCAAGTTCAAACACCTTAAATTTCTTAAAAAAGATTTCCTTTCCCAACTACAAAATCGTCTTTCGTTAAGCAGCCCGAAAGCCCTTGAGCATTGTTCTTAAACGCGACACTTCATTGTGGCGAACCCTCAACAATCAACACTCAACGCTCAACACTGAACTGTCAACCAACCAACCAACCTACCAATCCGCCAGTCAGCCTTGTTGTCCGATGTCCCTTGGAATTTTTTCTCCTTTTTTTCTTTGAAGAAAAAAAACTTTATTCAACGGCCAAGATTGTTGCTTGGAATTTGCAGTGAGTGCAAAGAGGTCTTTGTTGTTCCAACGATTGTTTTTGGGTATATCACTGCGCCATAGTGATGCGGGTTGTTAGAGTTGTTGTGATTGCCGTTATCTACCTTCATACTATTGTTATTGGTATTTATTATTGTATTGTTGTTTTCAGCATTGTTGTTGATGATGCTGTAGTTATATTTTTTTTCGCCCTTGTTGTTGTGCCTTATTTTCGTATTTCGTTATTATTATTGTTATTGTTGTTGTGGTTGTTATTATTACTATTGTTGTTGTTGTCACTGTTGCTTCGCCCAAAATAAAAGCACTTAACACCAAAAATCTTATGTTGTGAATTTAATCCTTTGTCTTTGCACTTTGATAGCTGCCGGTGGAGGGAGAGTATGAGACCGACACTTGCTCACCCAACCCATACCTTCCTTGGTCTCTCTTCACCTACACTTGTCTGTGCTTTAGCTGTTATTGTTGTTGGTTTTCCTATCGTTAAGCAGGAAAGTGTGAGCTGAGAAGTGGGAGCTCGCACTCGAAGAGATTTGTTGCTGTTGTCAAGATGAAGCGCAAAACGTGGGCTGGATGCGTGTGTGTGTGCGCTCTTGCAGCCCTTAAAAATTCTTCACCACCGCACTTTAACCCCTTCACTGTTGCTCCTTCTCTTCGACTTGCACCACACCCATTTCCCGCGGCGCTCTTTTTTACTAATTTTAATTTTCATTCAGACTTCAATTCAGCGCCAGCCCACACCAGCACTCAAGTGCAATGCCTACGAAACAACCTCCGCACTCTCTTCTACTGCGTATACTGCTATTGTGCATGGTATTTCTTTTCACAAGCTCTATAGTACTTAAAGGCCTTGTCTTGTGGTCGCTGCTGCCACTGCCACTGGCAGGCAAAGCGTCGACAATGTTGAAACAACGAGCTACACAGGCACCATTCACTGCCATTCCCCCCTACCAAACTTCAAGACGCGCCGCAGTCATGTTGTCAAAAATCCATTTCGTCTTGGCATACATTGTCAAGCACAATGCCCATCTTCGCTTGCTTGTTCTTATTCTTTAACGCAAGACTTTAAAAATGCTACATGCTCGGTGCGAGGAAGCGCGTAGTGATCCCGATTATAGCACAAGGCATGCCACCTACAACTCGCACCAGCTCATATTTGCCACGGGCACCGTTAGCGTCACCGCTTTTACCACTGATGCTACCGCAACCGTCGCTCATTCGAATTTTCGTGGTTTTAAATGAAAGTCCTCACACCACATCGCCAACCGGTTGGAGTAGGAGCGCGGCTAAACGCATTCTTACTTATAACGAGTGAGCGCCGCCTGTCAATTCACGTGAACCAGCGAACCAGTCTAGTTGGTACGACAACCCTTTATGCAGTGCGCCACATGGCTTAGCCGTCTTTAGGGAATATAACCCATTCATCTTGTTTGCCAAAATCGCAGCTCGCGCCTTGTGTTTGTTGTCATTCTGCTCTTGTTCTTCCGTTTTCTTCTTCGCACAGCTCTCACCCTGCCTGTTGTTGTTGTCTAATGCACAGCTCCAGCAAAGGATTACTCAATTAATTTAATTATGTGCTGTCAATCATTGCGACGGAGCTCGCGCACATTCTAAGTATTTTCCTTCGTGGAGACGACATTGGCCGTCTGTTTTATGCCACATTTTCCGCAGCCCCATTCCCTGCGCTCCGTTCCGCACGCAGCTACTTGCCACCCATTAATTGCGTTTCCACTTGTCTTCGCACCCCGCGCGCGGTCGCTTGTTCTTTGTTGATGGTTTTTCAATTTTTGCTTCGCATTTTCCATTTTCATTCATTTACAATTTCATTTTTTTATTTTTTTTTTTGTTGGTTTTGTGTGCGTACATGTAAATGACTTTTCCTGAGGAGCTTTTCATTTGGCATGGATTTTCCATTTATCCCAAATGTTTGCACTGTCTCCTCTCCCTCCCGCTCTCATTATCTCGCCGCGCAACGCTGTGTCTGCTCATTGGAGTTTCTTAGCGCTGAACCTTTTAAATCACACTGATGCGTCAGTTGCCGTTAGCTTGAAGCTGTGGAACCCATTAAATTTTAGCAGCTCAAGTTCAGTATTTTGGGTATTTTTTGAATTCTTTTTTCACTTCTCTCTTAATTGTGTGTTATTTTTTTTTCATTTCTTGCATACAGATATATGTAGGAGGAAAGGTTTTTCCTCCAAAAGAGGAATCAGTTAAGATTTTGGGCTTCAGCTAAGTCTTCAGAGCTCATAACCTTTAGTCAGAGTTTAAAACTAGTTCTTGTCCAGTCAATAATAAAAAGTCTTACGAAATTCATTCAGCACTGTTTGAGAGCCCCATCAGGAGGACTATAATGAGGCTACTTCGTCCTCATTTCGTTTCATTTTCACTTTGAAGAATATATGGTCAAAGAAAGAGATCGTCTAACCAAATAAACACTTACTTCAAAGTGGAAACAAAGTCTGGCAGAGTAGATGGCACGTTTCAACAGACAAAGCTGTCCGGGCAGCGCTGTTGGTCAGTTCTTCAAGAGAGGTGGTAGATATAAATAAATACATATCACATTTCTCATACCCAAAAACCAATATCGTAAATTCAGCCGAAGATATTTCTTTGTTTGGTTCCATGAGTCTCCTTTCATTTTATTGAACAGCAAGTCCTTTCATAACATAACGACGGAAAAAATAGACAAGAGCCTGCCTCATCTGTAGAGGTTCAGAAGCCCAACTTACGAAAGGTTTCAAGAATGCAACGTACTCATTTCGGACCCAAAGCGGTGATTTGGAGACCAAATTCTGGAGTAGAAAGAGTTTATGGGCGAAGAAGTGATCCAGACGGCTGTATAGTTCTAAAAGTGAAATACCAGAGATGTCGAAATCCAAAACCCTATCGGTGATTATGGTATAGACGCAGCCTCACACAACTATTTGTAAGTTCGAACAACAATTTGACTGATGGCCAATGGTCTACCAACTGAGATATTCAAACATAGCTGCGGAGAGCTACAATATGCATCAATCAGCTTCAGCCGAGTAAAAAGCATATCCGCTAGTGTGCTCTGCCACTCTCAATATCTTATATAAGGTCTTAGCAAGCGTAGTATGTGAAAGACTAAAACCCGCCGTCAACAAGATGATTGGACCTTATCAGTGGATATTTAAGCAGATATTCACCGAACGTCAAGTCCTAGAAAGAACCCATGAGAAAAGCATAGACACAAACCAGCTCTTCGACGATTTCCTAACTGTTTGATGGCACAAAAGGGATCGACTTTTGTACTGATATGTCTGACCCTGGTAAACATACACTGAGCAATACTAAAAGCTCCGTCGGAGTCGGGAAGAAACTCTCCGAGGCACTCGTTTCTAAACGAGGTTGCAGACAAGATGGATCTATATATCTATATACTATTATCATAGATGGATAAGGAATCATGCGATTGAATAGAAGCAACACAAGTCCATAGGAACTCTAGATATTTAATACCCGCAGGTGAACGCAGATGAAGGCATCTATTCCGCTGAAAAAACAGGTGGAGAGCGACTTGGATTCACTATATAAACCAAGTAGGAAAATTATTGAATATGGCTGCCTAAAATATATACGAGTAAGTACCAAAATATTCGTATGTCTGAATCTTCTTGCATAATTATTTGCACCGTAATTTTAAGAAAAACGAGAATTTCTTTGTTTTTTATTCTTCCTTCCTTCCCATTCTTTTACGAGTTGAAGTAAAACAACTTCCGGTTCAGATGTACAGGGAAATGTTTACACACACATACATACAAGCATCTCGCACAAATTCGCATTTTCATTTCATCATCCTCATTCATTTCGACGTCCCTCTCACTCAAGTGCCGCTAAAAGAGATCAAAGTATGAGTTGTGTATACGTGTATATCCTGCGGCTGTTGTGGTTACAATTTTTCATTTGCATTTCCCTTCATTTGATTCACATATACTTTTATATACACAGAGTTGCATGAAATTTGAACAGGTGTGAAAAAACTGGTATGAGACTAGAGCTCGTTGACTGATACGATACTAGTCTGAAAAGTACCAAAAGTGGAACCAGAAAAAATTAAATTTACTTTTTAAGTATTTTAATTTTAATGAAATCTACTTTAATGTTTTTCAATATTGATTTTCAAGTCTGCCTGGCAAAAATTTATAAAAAAATAATATTTACAACAAATAGGAATAAATTTTGTTTAAAGATAATATTTGAAAACAAAATCGTATAATAGAATTTGTGAAAGGGACTCTGGGAAAAAAGGGCCTCCAGCAGCACGTAGAGAATACTGTACAGTCTCTGCTAAGAAACAGGTTCACTTTCGCCAGTATTACCAGCCACACAAGAAGGGGTACACCTCAAACAGGAGTCTTATCCCCACTGCTGTGGATTTTTACGGCAAATGCGCTGATTCGAAAACTGAAGAGCACGGTCTGTGATGTGGTAGCATACGCTGACGACATTGCCCCAACAGCGACTGGTAAGCACCCACAAACTTTAGTAGGAAAAGGTGCTGGGTAGCAGCAATAATTTGAAATGGACCTATTTACCGGTAGGTACGAACCGTCTTCTTGTGAGCTATTTAAGATCTCTCTCTCTATCTCTATAGCTCTATGTCTATCTCTCTCTCCTCTCTCTCTCTCTCTCGCTCTCTCTCTCCTCCATCTCTCTCCTCTCTTTCTACTCTCTACCTCTCTACTGAAGTTACCAGTTGCCACTCAATCAGATAATAAGCAACTCAACCTTAGAAGAGTTGCAGTATGGGGCATGCTTAAATAATATTCCTTGCAGCAGTATCGAAGGATCTGGATTACACCAATTCCAGCATATAATTTGGCAATGTCTCTTCCATAAGCAACCCAAACAGGAACAATAGGAAAAACAAACGCCCTTGATCAGAAAACCATGGCCATCTTTATAGGCCGCTCTATGAATATACCCTCCAATTATCCCAATAAATATGAACATGCGCCTCTACGAGATTACCATAACGTCATCCAAGCAGAACTCTCTGCATGCCGACTAGTGGTTGCTCAACTCCAACAAGACTATCAGTTACGATATATTCCGACAGTCAAGCTGCCATCAGATCTCTACAGTTTAACAATACCACATCAATAGTGACTGTGAAATGTTGAAGCAAATTGAATAAACTTTCGCGGACGGAGTACCCGGATGCATTGATATCCCAGGGAATTGCACGGCAGATGAACTATACAAACGATGCAGATATATCCTTGACCATGGCAAAGTATTTGCTAAAACTGGCATTTTCCGAAATAGCAAACACTAGATGGCTGATGAAGATCATAGGCGACGTGCCCAGAAAGCTTTGGCCAAAATTAGAAGCGAACATTTTAAGCCATCTTATTCTTCTAGGCCGCTTAACCTTGAGCATAGCGACAGGTGTAGTAACAGAGCTCTGTTTAATGGAGCTATTAGTCTAATAATTTTTGCTGCAGCTTTAGGAACAAAGAAGAGGATGGGACTATTGAACAATACCTCTGTCATTGTCCTGCCTTGACATCTGGGCGACACAAGTTCCTTGGGAATACTTCTTTGAATATCTAGCTAAATCTCGTGGCTTTTATTAGACACAGACAGCATGAACCTATAGGCCTAAATTCGTTGGTCTTTGACTAACAGCCGCATCAACTTAACTCACCTCATCTCAGACAATAAAATATATATGTACAACAGGCAGGTGGCCGCCATAATCTACCGTTTAGCATAGCTTACTGCCACTCCGAAGGCCAAAATTCGATTTCTGGACCCATCTATATCCATATATAAGAAAGTTAATTTGCACAAACAAAAAGTTATTATTTTTCTAATTGCTGTCGCCAACTGGCAGTGAAGCTAAATCCTCATAAAAATCCTTTAGTCACACGAGGGAGGCTAAACTTTAGGCCTCTCTATTTGCTCGGAAAACAACAAGGCACAAACTACTCGTTCGAGAAGTTGCTCGGCCGAAAATCGTTTCAACGATTAAAAGTATATAAACATTTCCTTCAAAGGACTTCTCTCTTCTCAATCGGGAGAAACAAATTTTATTGATTGTATAATTAATTATAAAAAATTTAAACATTTTTCCACTCAACATCTTTTTTAAGGTCTTGCAGTAATTATTGTTCCGAATCGCTATTGCCAGCAAACTAGTTCTGGCCTGGTCTACAAACACTACAATTGTCTACATGATAAGTATCGAAAAATATGTATGTATGTGAGCATGCATACGTGCATTTAATTTCGACGCATTGTCACTATCAAATATAATTTATTTGTGTACAATATTTATTTATGTATGTGTTCACACACATTTGCGTATTCCTTTCGATCTGGCAATGACGACTTTTCAATTTTGAGATTTGCTTGCTTCTTTACATGATTCATCTTGTTTGTAATGGATTTTAATTATTTTAATTATTTTTCAGTCTTTGAGAAATTGACATTTTTTGCGTATTCCAGCTGACACTTGGCGCTGTGAGTGGCAGTCAAGGCTAAACCATGTGTGTGTAACGAAAGCCAAATTTACATTTACCTTTGAAGAAAGTTTCAAAAGCTAAAAAGCAAAAGATTTTTTTAATTTAGAACTCTTTAAAGTATACTTATTCGGAAGAACACAACTGCGAAGCCCACCAAAAAGAACTAACTTAGTTTGTCTGAAATTCAGAAACGATTTTCAGACAATCCTTTTTTATTTCTTTTAAAGCATAGAAATAGAGATCAATCAGATCTGTGGGAAAATTAATTTTAAACAACTTTCATATCGTAAAAAGTCTGACGGCTTAACGGCTATAATGAGTTTATAGGTTATCTATTTTACGGTTTCGAAAATAAGCGTCAATAAAATGACTTAAAATAATTTCATCATGGTTATAGCATGAGCTATGGAATTATATCATTCGAATGACCGTTTCACGATTTTTCGCAAACCACGATTAGTTTGCGGATATTTTCGACCAATTTTTGGGCAAAAATAAATAGAATAAGAAAGAAGGGTTATCTTCTTTATACCTTTCTTAACCATTTCAAATTTGTTCATATCCAATGTTTTTGTATTGATACTATATGAGTTCCTTTACCAATGTCTAGTTTATCATGTGTGCGGTGCAGAATACCGAATTTCACGCTCTCAGTTGCTTTTTTGACAAATTTATAAGATTTATGTTATAGTAGTGCGATCTAGCCATCTCCGACAAATGATCATTTGTACCAAGTTTCGTTGAAATATCTCCAAAATTTTGGGACTAGTTTGCGCACAAACGGACGAGCAGACGGATAATTTAGCCATGTCAATCAACTCAACTCGTCATTCTGATCAAATTAGTGTTAATTTCCTTCTGGCATTTAGATACTGTACGAGCAAGATCTAAAAGTTATAGAAAATTAATTTGAATGTCAACCCCTCCGAGTATATTTCTGACATGAAAATCAAAAGCTCCTCATAAAAAAACCATCAGCCGTCCGGAGGCGGCTTAGTATAAATTGTATATCCCTCCATTTGTTAGAAAAAGAACAAGACGCAAGAAGAGGAGCTCGGCGGAAAATCGCTTTAGCCGCAAAAAAAATAGTCGAATTTCATAATGTTGGCTACAAAATGGCGCTTTCCGTCGGCACTGCGCGAAAAACATGGCTCAAGAACTTCAAGCCTACAGCCGCTTATAGGAGACTGAAATCAAAAATCGTTGTCAATACTTGAAGATCATGAAATTGTCTACATCCTCGATTGAAACAATTTTAACGATGAATTTATAGTATAATTCTCATTGAAGTTATAAAGCTAAATTTTTTTGCTACTTCTTTCACTTCGATTACGTTAATTAATTAATTAATTACAAATTCTAATCTTAGATTCAAGATTCACAAAAAACTATATACTTTGAAATATTTTTTAGATAAAAGAAATCGGACGGATAGATCAAGCCCGGGGCTTGAATTTAGATTAGAAAACATGGTTTCCAGAAAAACGTGTTCATATATTTTTGAGAGCTCGCAGCGTTCGTGGGATAACTGTGTTCGAGAAGTTGCTATTTTAGAAAAACGCAAAACCCCTTTAAACACATGCTTTATAAATATATTGCTTTCATTTGTTGGCGTAAAAAAAAATCGATTTTTGATCCAAAATCAGGAACCAAAATCCAATATAAATCCACTCATTACTGTTTTTCATTATTTTTATATTAATCGGTGCAAAAAAATAAAATAAATAAATAAAACAAAATAAAACAAAAAAAAAAAAATAAAATAAAATTGACATTAAGGATTTTTGGACTATATAACCGATGAAAACTTCCAAACTGTCTGCAAATAATCATATTTCCATTGAATTTAAAAAAAAAAAATTAATTTTTTTTTAATATTTTGTCAATACTTTTTAATTTTCTTTAGTTCTCTGTATACAATGAAATTTTTTATATTTTTCATAATATATTTAATTAATCATAAAGAGTTGAAACTTAATTTTTGATAAATGAAAGAAGTAGTGTGAATATAAAGCAAAATTCCTTTGATTTTTTATGTTATCGATTAGCGTTATCGATTAATCGCTGTTACAGAGGCAAATTGAAGCAGAATTGAAACCGACAGCTTTCTGCTGAAGCGGTTACACACACCGATTGTTGATTTTCTTCATATCAGTTTCATTTCCGAAACACATTTTGTTTCGCTTTTAGGTGTTACAGTAACTGATTTAACGGCTTGAGTGTCAGAATTAAACTGAGCAGTTGACGGAGTTGTGCGCTAACTTTTTTGCAAGATTTACAACCAGTAATGCCTGGAATACGTTACTTGTTGGACAACGAGTTCTGCGCTTTTCATTTTCGTTCATTCCTAACTTTATCCAGAACCGGCAAATCAAAAGTTTAAAGACATTTATCACTTCTGTTATTACCACCGAGTGTGTAGGTCGCGCTAAGGAAGTTTTTGAGTCATAGCCCACAGACCGTTGATAGGAGCCTGCTGCCTAAAAACGCAGTGTCGCTGAAAGTTATAGCAGAGGTTTGATAGAAAGCCTCTCTAACTTGTCTTCAATGACATCCAACACTCTTACAAAGGCTTCTTTGATAAGACGATATTGGCCGAATTTACATACAAAAAAATTTTGTATCAGCGAATGTAAAAGTTTCTTGCTGGTTTCTCCGAATCCTTTTAACATCAAAAAAGCCATCACTGCCGGAGTCATTTTATATTTAATTAACACCCACAAATAAGTTAAAACCAGGACAAAAATGAATTTTAGTTGCACAAGCGTGTGTTGTGTTTTAACACCAGATTCGAATATCGGTTTTGTCTATCTTCGAAATAAGTAAAATCAATTCGATTTCATAACACCATTTCCAACAGATATTGATTCTCAAATCCGATAACTAAGCCATTCTGTGTCGGTTTCTATAACATCCCTGACTAATTAAAAAAAAAAATAAAATTAAATAAAGTTACATTAGTTTTTGTATGAGAATAAAATATATAAAAAATTAT